TAAAAACAAACAAATGAAAAATAAATACATCATCCATAGATTTTGTCCTTTAGAAGTCCGTTTCTCAACTCCCCCCCCCATCTATTCACAGTGTTTCTTTCAGACTTTTTTCTCTCGGCGGGATGGGGGGGGGGGGGGGCTGGTAAAAAAAGTATATTTTCTGTAATAATTTATTTTTTTTCGTTTGGGGAGGGGGGGGGGGCTGTAGACGTTCTACAGGGAGAAGGGGGGGGGGGGGGCTTCGCCACGCCGAAGAGATGCCTGAAAAAAACTATGGGCCTGACCACGCCCCACTCCACTCTAGCCACGTGACGTCTGTTGAATGTACAACTCATGTGTTCATAACCTTTGTCCACCCCTGTGACCTCGATAAGCGTTCGACACACAGCCGTGACCTATTTAATGACGTAAACATAAAGGGCGGCCACTCTTATTGTTAAAACTAATCGCAAGCTTATGGTCATACGCTTGAGGCGCAGGTCAACAAACAAGCCTTCATTAGTGGACACGCTGTTGTACTGTAAGGAGGAATGGGCCGACTTGTACCTTGTTGACCGACACGGTCTAAATTCGAACAAAGCTGTCTGGACCACGTATAACAAAATACGGCGGCCCACATTCACATGTATTCTCTTATCTCCAGTGTTTCCTTAAGGATTTTTTTCTTCGGGGGACGGGAGGGGTGGGGTGGACGGGTATATATTTTCAATATAATTTATATTTTGTTCCGGGGGGGGGGGGGGGGAAGGGAGGGCTCCGCAGAGGGGGGGGGGGGGGGTGCGAACCGCACCGGGTGACAGCGTGGGGGTGACACAAACGCCAAAAAATTGCAAAATGCACAGAAGAAAAATGCTGTTTTTTGCCAGATCCATTAGTGATTAATTAAAGTTAAATAGTCTTTAATAGTTAAATAGTACTAATCGACAATTATTACAACAGGGGGGGGGGGTGACACCACGAGGTGTCGCACCGGGTGACACCCGACCTAGCGACGCCACTGGGGCTACACCCCCGAAGAGATGCCTGGAAGAAACTGCTTACCCCCTTGAGTCAGGGACAAAAGAATGCTGTGACACAATTGTTTCAACATTCGAACAACCTACTGACACAATTGTTTCAACATTCGAACAACCTACTGACACAATTGTTTCAACATTCGAACAACCTACTGACACAATTGTTTCAACATTCGAACAACCTACTGACACAATTGTTTCAACATTCGAACAACCTACTGACACAATGGTTTCAACATTCGAACAACCTACTGACACAATGGTTTCAACCTTCGAACAACCTACTGACACAATTGTTTCAACATTCGAACAACCTACTGACACAATGGTTTCAACATTCGAACAACCTACTGGCACAATGGTTTCAACCGTCGAACAACCTACTGACTGACACAATGGTTTCAACCTTCGAACAACCTACTGACACAATGGTTTCAACCTTCGAACAACCTACTGACACAATGGTTTCAACATTCGAACAACCTACTGACACAATGGTTTCAACCTTCGAACAACCTACTGACACAATGGTTTCAACATTCGAACAACCTACTGACACAATGGTTTCAACATTCGAACAACCTACTGACACAATGGTTTCAACATTCGAACAACCTACTGACACAATGGTTTCAACATTCGAACAACCTACTGGCACAATGGTTTCAACCGTCGAACAACCTACTGACTGACACAATGGTTTCAACCTTCGAACAACCTACTGACACAATGGTTTCAACCTTCGAACAACCTACTGACACAATGGTTTCAACATTCGAACAACCTACTGACACAATGGTTTCAACCTTCGAACAACCTACTGACACAATGGTTTTAACATTCGAACAACCTACTGACACAATGGTTTCAACATTCGAACAACCTACTGACACAATGGTTTCAACATTCGAACAACCTACTGACACAATGGTTTCAACATTCGAACAACCTACTGACACAATGGGTTCAACCTTCGAACAACCTACTGACACAATGGTTTCAACCTTCGAACAACCTACTGACACAATGGTTTCAACATTCGAACAACCTACTGACACAATGGTTTCAACATTTGAACAACCTACTGACACAATGGTTTCAACCGTCGAACAACCTACTGACTGACACAATGGTTTCAACCTTCGAACAACCTACTGACACAATGGTTTCAACATTCGAACAACCTACTGACACAATGGTTTAACCTTCGAACAACATACTGACACAATGGTTTCAACCTTCGAACTACCTAGCACAGTGAATTTTCACACGTAAACAAAAAGTCCCAATCTATAGTGTAGCTAAGGCGATGAAGCATGAAGTACCCGTCTATTGTCCACACCAAGAGAGACTGGACCCGGGGGGGGGGGGGGGGGAGAGACATGTTGACTTAGAGTGATAGCTCTACTTACACAGGCCAAATGCGCATAATCTGGTCACTCAGCGCCTAGTCACTCCATATGTTGCCACTCCTGTTATGGTCACTTTATATGTGGTCACTCCATGCGTGATCTCTTCATATGTGATCGGCCTTTTGGATGTCGGCCTTTTAGCAGTCGGCTTTTTGTCTTGTCGGTCTTTTGTCCGGATCCCCCGTTTTATATACGCATTCTTCGAACCCTTGTTACTAGTTCTGTCGACCGTACTGACAAAATCCGATCGTGAATCATATGAGTCGGGTGTGTGTTTTGACCTCCGCAAAATCCCTGAGAGTGACTTACCGAACTTGGGGTTCAATCAAATCCATTTTAACTTTATTTTAAGAACCACTGTTCTAGAATCTAGAAATAAAAAAAACAACAACTGGTACCTCTTTGTTCACTCGTAATTGTCTTATAGAATCTATTTCACTTATATCCCCACACTAATACAAACTAGCCCACACCCCAACATCAACTCAAAGTTCAGCCATCTTCTGATTTATCTGCTAGCCTTGCTAAGCTCCTACAGCTGGTGTCGATACTACACCAACAACTCGCCCAAAGTTCCACAACTCTCACATACTACCCTCCCCCCATCTCCCCGTGCTTATTACGTCACGCAGTTCCAGAACAGAAATACCTGGCGCCATCCCCAACCTGTAAACAACCCCGGCATCCGCAGGTTACCTGTGTTACCTGTGTTCCACTCATCCACGTGAGCTACCTGTGCCCCACTAGAGGTGTACAACAGCAGGTACACACCACCAACCACCCCTAGACTTGCACGTGTGCACGTTGTATTTTTTCTCCACTGTCTTGTATCTTGCTAGTCATTACCACGGAAAGATTATTTGTGTGATAGAGATCTAGCAGTAAAGGAGTTCTAAGGATACGTTTTGAACTCTAGAATTAGTTTTGTGAGAACTGTTATTATTATAAATTAGGTTTTAAATTATAGTAGTTGAAATTTTTATAGTTTCAAGTAAGTTTTGTAGATAATATTTTAGCTAAATAATTAAGTCAAATACGTTTTAAGCTCAAAATAGTTTGTCATAGGCTTATATTTAAAATGTAATTATTTTCTAGATAGTTCTTTTTTAAGTAAAAGTCACCGCTAAAATTAAGCCAACATCAAGCTTAATTGTATTAGAATCTTGTTTGTAGCATTACTTCTGTGTGGATAAATAAATTACTAGCGGCTAAGTGGCTCACGTGGTAGGTAAAGTAGTGTTGATTTCTTTCTTTCAATTGACAACAAGTGCCTGAAATTTGTAGTCATTTCTTTTTGCCGGCTTTGCTAGCCTAACGTTACACTCAAAGGTTTCTTCCAGACTTTTTTCTTTTTTTCTCCGGTGAGGGATTTTACTTTTTCGGGGGGGGGGGGGAGGGGGGGGGTAAGGGGGGAGGGAAGAGGTGTAGCAGAGGCGTAGCGACCCTTCCCGGCGCCCGGGGACAAACTTTCAATTTGCCCCCCCCCCCCTCGGAAACAAACCTTCAATTTTTTTTCAATTTGCACCCCCCCCCCCTCAAACTTTCCATTTGCACCCCCCCCCCATATATATTTTATATTTATTATGCAAAACTGCACCTAAAATGAGATTTTAATTTGTTTTTTTCAACCCATTTTGGCGCCCCCTAAGGTCGGCGCCCGGGGACATATGTACCCCCCCTGCCCCCCACCCCTTCGCTACGCCTCTGAGGTGTAGCGAAGAGGTGGGGGGGGGGGGGCGGGTCGGTACATATGTCTCCGGCGCCTAAATGGGTTGGGAAAAAAATTAAAAGCTAATTTTAGCTGCAGTTTTGAATTATAAACAAAAAAATATAGGGGGGGGGGGGGAGAGCGCCAAATTGAAAGTTTGTCCACGGGCGCCGGGAGGGGTCGGTACGCTTCTGGGGCGGACACTGTTAAAAGTAGGGCCTATATATATTTTTTATATAAATATAGACTCCCCGAAGAGATGCCTGGAAGAAACACGTTACACTCGGGGCAAGAAGACAGAATCCCCATCCTTTCGCTTGGCCAGGGTTTCTCTCAAGGAGGTGGGGGTGTACAATGGATAAAGTAGATATTTTGTAGAGATATATTTTCTAATTTGTCTGGGAGGGTGGGGGTCGGGCGGGGGACGTGATCGGACTGTCACCCCCCCCCCCCCCATTCACACCCAGAGCGACAGAGGCGTATCGACCCTTCCCGGATTTGCACCCCCTCAAGATTTCGATTTGCACCCCCCTCAACCTTTCAATTTATTTTTCGGTCGGCGCCCGGGGACATATGTTCCCCCCACCCCTCGCAACGCTACTGCAGAGAGATGCCTTTGATGCTCTAACCATTAGCTTAGAGATGTGAAGGACATCTAAACTGATCACCATGTCCACCCCTTTTCTATTCCTTACTCATTAATACAAGCATGCGTTAATTCACCTTTAGCGCTATCCCTTTTAATACTGTAACCAATCCTAGTTGTTTTGATTTTACTCTTGGTTATATCAGTGTCGTAATCATGGCAGTTTTGTTAAAAAAAAATATTTTAATTACCTCACCAAGCAGATCCAGGTTAGGAAGATGACGTCATTTACATCCATGGCTTGTGGACTTCCTGGTGATGACGTCGCCTACACGATGGAAAACGAAGTACTGAAAAAATGGGGATTTCCCGATACATTTATAGAACTATCCTCCAACCGAAACGAATTCGACGAAAACGTCGAAACACCAGAAAATGATATCTACGCTTCAGCAAACACCGCCACAAGTACCGGAAATAAATCAGCGGATGTTGACGAAGACAAAGTACCGGACGAGTCTACCGACGAGGACTATGAAATGGCGCATGCCGCGTATCAGAGCGGTCAGTACTGCGACTGTCTGATATACCTAGATGACGCCTTCCTGAGCCTGAGCCCGACCAACGCCCTAAAGCTGTGGACCCTCAAGGCTAATCTCATGAACGCCATGGAGGATCATCTGGAGGCGCTCAGGGCCATCTCCAACATTGACCTTAGTCACATGACGTTTGAGCTATTTATAGCTGGAGGTATGACACCTTATAATTTAACAAAACAATCAATATCTAATTAACCTCCACGAATCCACAGAACGTCTCATCATAATTCTTTCATTAAATATCTACACAAGAGAACCCAATTAGATATTTCCCATTATCCTAGTGTCAGATATTTAACATCTAACACCTCTCATCTGACACCTCCCACCTGACACCTCTCATCTGACACCTCCCACCTGACACCTCCCACCTGACACCTCCCGACACATAACATCTGACACCTCCCATCTGACACCTCCCATCTGACACCTCCCATCTGACACCTCCCACCTGACACCTCCCATCTGACACCTCCCACCTGACACCTCCCATCTGACACCTCCCGACACATAACATCTGACACCTCCCATCTGACACCTCCCATCTGATACCTCCCATCTGACACCTCCCATCTGACACCTCCCAATAGCCACCTCCCATCTGACAACTCCCATCTAACACCTCCCATCTAACACCTCCCATATGTTACCTCCCATCTGTCACCTCCCATCTGACACCTCCCATCTGACACCTCCCATCTGTCACCTCCCATCTGACACCTCCCATCAGCCACCTCCCATCTGACACCTCCCATCTGACAACTCCCATCAGCCACCTCCCATCTGACACCTTCCATATGACACCACCCATCGGAACCTCCCATCTGACACCTCCCATCGGAACCTCCCATCTGACACCTCCCATCAGCCACCTCCCATCTGACACCTCCCATCTGACAACTCCCATCAGCCACCTCCCATCTGACACCTCCCATCTGACAACTCCCATCAGCCACCTCCCATCTGACACCTTCCATATGACACCACCCATCGGAACCTCCCATCTGACACCTCCCATCGGAACCTCCCATCTGACACCTCCCATCTGACACCTCCCATCTGACACCTCCCATCGGAACCTCCCATCTGACACCTCCCATCTGACACCTCCCATCTAACACCTCCCATCTGACACCTCCCATCTGACACCTCCCACCTGACACCTCCCATCTAACACCTCCCATCTGTCACCTCCCATCTAACACCTCCCATCTGACACCTCCCATCTGACACCTCCCATCTGACACCTCCCATCTGACACGGATTAATTAATTTAAAAAATTACATACATTTCTTACTTGCCATGTTTCAGCCGTTGCCATGGAGAAGCTTGGTCTTCTCATCACCGCCGAACACTGGCTGAAAAAGGTTGTCATGGCAACGAGAAAGACGGCGTCAAGCGAGGGTAGCGCGGAACAGTGGGCGCATCGGGCATTCCACATGTTGCAGGAGATCCACACACGTCGCACGTATGAGCCCTACATCAAGGTGAGTTGTATGAGCCCTACATCAAGGTGAGTTGTATGAGCCCTACATCAAGGTGAGTTGTATGAGCCCTACATCAAGGTGAGTTGTATGAGCCCTACATCAAGGTGAGTTGTATGAGCCCTACAGGTGAGTTGTATGAGCCCTACATCAAGGTGAGTTGTATGAGCCCTACATCAAGGTGAGTTGTATGAGCCCTACATCAAGGTGAGTTGTATGAGCCCTACATCAAGGTGAGTTGTATGAGCCCTACATCAAGGTGAGTTGTATGAGCCCTACAGGTGAGTTGTATGAGCCCTACATCAAGGTGAGTTGTATGAGCCCTACATCAAGGTGAGTTGTATGAGCCCTACAGGTGAGTTGTATGAGCCCTACATCAAGGTGAGTTGTATGAGCCCTACATCAAGGTGAGTTGTATGATCCCTACATCAAGGTATATTGTTACACAGATATTCGCCCCTAAGTAGAGTCAACACGGCCTATATGAGCTCTACATATCTAGAAATAGTTGTTTAAATATGTTAAACTAAATCATAAATCGATTCCATAGAGGGGTTTTTAATGATAGTTATAGAGGATACTCTAACACATTCTATGTGAATAGTGATTTGTTAGATAAAAATAAATACAATTTGTATAGAGTAGAGTTATATTTCTGTGTTCATGGCATTGCAATTTTTACAACCACGTTAGATTCCATGACAAGGGTCATGATACGTGGACTAAAATGAGTATGTGCATTTGATGACGTCCCTTTGAGTCGAGCCCGCGAATCGAACTCAAGTCCTCTTTGTTAATATTAGACGTGTACTGTTCTACTCGTTTAGTATTTCTTACAATTAACTTGAGAGTCAAACGACGCCATATTTACTTGCTGACGCAGTCACTCGCCCACTTCCACTCTCCATCCCTACAGGGAGCGAAGGTGAAGGTCACCAACACCAGCAGCGGGCGTGGCCTCCACGCCACGCGCAACATCTCCAAAGACGAGGTCATCTTCACGGAGCTGCCGGAAGTCTGTGAGCAGAGCATCGCCACCTGTAACATCCTGGCCTGCGCTCACTGCGGCCTCTCCCTGGCCAAGCCTCAGAACGTTTTCCCCAGAGAATGCACGGCAGTGGGGGACAATATGAAAACCTTCAAGAAAGTCTGGGTCAAAAGGGAAGTCACCCAGTGCAATAATTGTAACAGAGTTGTCTATTGTAGTGAATCTTGTCGGCAAGAATCGTGGACAAAGTAAGTGACGCCCTTATTACTTAATGATTTTGTTTTAGATTTTCTTAACTAGTAAGGAAAAAAACAAAACAAATAAATCTCAGTTACTCAGAAGTCACACAATCATATTATACTAGCCGTCCCGGCCAGGCCCTGCTCTGGCTTCTGTGAAAAACCTTTCTGTTAAAGACCATTACCTGTGTGTTTAGTAATCATCATAAACCCGGCATTGCCCACCCAAACCACAACCAACCAAAACAACAAAACGCAAACATAACGCTAACACAATTACAAATACAAAAGAAAACCAAAACCTAACAACAAACCCAACCACAAACACCAATACCAAAAAAAAAAACAACGAAAAAGCAAACGAAAACAAACCAAATCCAAACGCAAAACCAACCAAAAACACAAATACAAACCCAAACAAAAAAAAACGCAAACAAAAACGAAAAAAGAAAGAACAAAAACGAACCAAATCAAAACGCAACCACTAACGCAAACCCACCTAAACACAAAGAAAACACTAACGCGAACATAAACGCCCGGGGCGGAATCACCTGTTTTAGCTTAATGAACGACTATAGTACCCCAACTTATTCATAGTCTTTTGCACTCACTTAAACGAACGCGCCTGAACAATTATAATACTCCAAGCTTATCCGTAAAATACTTACAACATTTGCACTTGATCAATCCCCGCTAATTATGTAATTATTTTTTTTTCCCAACACCAAAACAAAGTAATTATTAAAAAGTAAATACTTTTCCACAAAATGCAATGGTTTTATAAAGGGAAGTAATTGTGTTTTTCCTAATTTATCAAAGGGAAGTAAGTGCTATAGGACTAAATAAAGACATAATTAGAATTTTTGTAAAAGATGATATTTTTTTTAAAACTTGTGTTTAATGAACATGCCGACAATTATTACTATAATTTGAAAAATGAAAATTATTTCCCAACACTTTCAATAGTAATTTTTTAGCTCATAAATTTAGACAAATGCGCACGCTAATTTTCTAACACTTAAATTCGTACAATTCCAACGACATACAAATGCATTACATACAGAACTGAGCTTTATATATTAGAATTAAGTACAATGAAATAAGAGCTTTTTTATTTAAAAAATAACATAAATCAACACAGTCTCTCATGCGAAAAATCTAACCGGCGCCCACGCAGGCCTCTGTTGTTTAAACTTGTAGCCACCTCCCACCAGTGTTTCTTTCAGACTTGTTCAGAGTTTCTTCCAAGCATCTCTTCGGTGGGGGGAGGGGTGGAGCCCCCCCCCCCTCCTCCCCGAAGAAAGTCTTCCGCCCTCCCCCCGAGCGAAATGGAATTTATATAGAAAACATATACTTTTACCAATGTCCGGCTCCCCCCAGAAAATATCAAGTGCCTCCCCCCGCCCCGGAGAAAAAAGTTTCTCCTGGGGGGGGGGGGGGGGGGGGGCTGCGGACTAAGTGTTGGGGGGGGGATGACGATGACGTCACTAGTAAAAGTATATATTTTCTATTTACATTGTATATCGTTTGGGGAGGGAGGGGGGTCAACTGAAATCTCTATATATCCCCAAACTTTTCAATGTTCCAGATACCACAAAGTTCTATGTTCCATGTTCTAGGTACCACAAAGTCCTATGTTCCATGTTCCAGGTACCACAAAGTTCCATGTTCCAGGTACCACAAAGTTCCATGTTCCAGGTACCACAAAGTTCTATGTCCCATGTTCCAGGTACCACAAAGTTCCATGTTCCAGGTACCACAAAGTTCTATGTCCCATGTTCCAGGTACCACAAAGTTCTATGTTCCATGTTCCAGGTACCACAAAGTTCTATGCTCATCAGCCCAAAACACGACGACGGCCATGTTGTATGACGTCAGACAGTCCTTCACTGAGGTGCGGCCCAGTGAGGGTGGGTCCTGGCAGGGGTGGTGGAACGTGGAGTTCAGCCCCGTCTTGTTGGCGCGGCTCTGGGCCACCATTGTCTGCAGGGCCAAGCTGGACATGGGCCAATCACAGCAGCCGTCAAAAATAGACTGGGTCAAGGCCGGCTCACAGTTTGAGAAGTAGGTCACATAAATTATGTAAATTGTAACATGTGAGAGGAAACGATAAAAACTGTGTTGCTTTTACAACAATAGGGCTGGTAAGTAGGTCACCAACCAGTTCTATGGCTCAAGCAGGTTTTATTGAGCCGTAGAACTGGTTGGTGACCTACTTACCAGCCCTATTCATATTGGAACATGTTTAACTCAAAACTTAAAATAATAAACACGTAAAGTAGTAAAAACTGTCTTAAATAAAATTCAGTTCAGTGCATACAAACATATTTTAATGTACGACTAGGCATTGTTATTGACTAGAAGCCGAACTATTATTGATTGCACTTATTGCATTGTTTATTGGGGTATTAGTCTTCAGATCAACAGCATTAAAAATAAAACTATTTTTTATTTATTTGTAACTTCATCCTGACCAAGATCAATAGTCGAAACATTTTCAAAATCTTTTTTTGTTATTCATAAAAATTAGACAGTCTAAAACTCCCGTGTGGCATCTGTTTGAGTAATTTAGAAGTCTAACTAATTTTTGATGTGATCACTGAGTAATTAATGCGGTGTTTACAGGTACACAGGAAAGGGAAGTAACTCAGCTCATGAAACCATACCAAAAATGTTTGAACTCCTGGCCACCATTTTTAAAAGGAGTAAAACCTTACGCTATGACATCACGAAAGAAGACTTCGACAAGCGTCATTCACAAATCCTGACCAACTACATCACATTCTATGACGACAAAGACCCGCTACGTCACTTTATCGACAAGTTGGCCCAGGATCGCAAGCGCTACAAGAGAATGAGCAAGTATCTCCAAGAACCGCTACCCAGGGCAGAGTTCCATGGGTTATTTCCCCTGGCCTCTACCATCAACCATTCCTGCTTGCCGAATGCAGAAATCATCAGCACCGCTGTGAACGGGAGGCCGGGGATCTGTGTGCAGGCTGTTGAGAACATAGCAGCAGGCGATGAGATCTTCGTGTCCTACATCAACCCCGACCAGGACAAGGCAGGTCGCAGGCAGGCGTTATGGAGGTCAGGACATTTTGTTTTTAAATCTCCAGAGCTGTTTGATTTAGTGTACAAAATATTTTTTTTAAACAAAACGTCAAACATATTAATAATGATTAAGCCCAAGTTCAGACAGGGGTCTCCCATAAATGACATCACACTCGGAGGGGGGAGGGGGTCCGTAATTTTGTGAACGTGTGTGATGAGGAAGAGATGGGGGGGGGGGGGTGTCAGATGGTGTGACGTCACTTTTTGCATTATAAAAAAGCAATGTTAGAAAACGCGTTTTAGAAAACGGTTTTAATAAATTGTAATAGAAATTTATCAAAATACTCTATGTTGACAGAGTTCTGACAAGATTTTGGAAAAATATCGATGTTTTAAGAAAAATTCAACAGCAATTTTGAGGGGGGGGGGGGGTGGTGTAGGCTGGGGTGTGACGTCATTTTAGGGGGGGGGGGGTATGGCTTTTTGTGGCGACGTGTGAGGGAGGGAAGGGGGGAGGTAAAAATCGTCAAAAAAAAGCGCGACGTCAAGGATGACCCCAGAACACGCTAATAAAACACAATACTAAAACCTAAGAATCGTGAATAAAATAACGACTAAATTAAAGCAAGATCACAATGGTAACAATATTGAGATATCATTAATGTTCGTGTCGTGTAAAAACTTATATTAATGATACTCTTAATTAAATTATTGTGTCGTTATGATGAGATTTAATTTTACAGGATACATATAGGCCTACACTAATTAACTGCTTAAAAAATAATTACATACAAAATACAACCTAAATTTGCAACCAAGTATTCATGTCACGTGACTTATCTGTCCCCAGGCGTTACAAGTTCATCTGCCAGTGCATCAAGTGCACCTTCCAAGGTGACGGTCCTGACACGTGTACTCACTGTGGGAAAACTGTAGCAGACGTGGACAGATTCAGTGGATCTAACAGGAGCAGCGGGCAAGATACTGGGGTGTTTTCTCAACCAAACAAAGATACACCAACAGATTTGTTGTCGTCTGCAGATGGACCAAACAAAGATACACCAACAGATTTGTTGTCGTCTGCAGATGGCCCAAACAAAGATACACCAACAGATTTGTTGTCGTCTGCAGATGGCCCAAACAAAGATACACCAACAGATTTATTGTCTGCAGATGGCCCAAACAAAGATACATCAACAGATTTGTTGTCGTCTGCAAATAGCCCTAACAAAGATACACCAACAGATTTGTCAGAATCTGACCAACGTTCCAACAACCCCCCTGCCCCCACACCTCAAGTATCAGATGACCTTAACTTTGTTAGCCTATCGGTTAACTGTAATAAAGTTGACAATGTTGTAGACACAAACGTTAACAATCTAACAAACAGTATTTCAACGTCAAATTTAGTTAACGACAAAGAAAGCAAATTTTGCGATACGCAGCTTTCATCCAATAACAAAGATTCAATTTCAGTTGAAAGTCAGATAGACTTCAATAGCTCAACATTAGAAGACAACAAACACGATATAAATGACACAATTGTTAGTGATGAGAGGAAACATTCTCAAACAGGGACAGACGTATTGGCAGGTGAATCCCCAAAAAATGAACTAGCTACCGAAAATCAACATGAACATTCAAGCTGCACTGTAGACGAAAGTGTTCCAATTAGCCCGGACTTACAGCAAGTGCTTCCACATTGTGAAAACCCCGTAGAATCACCAGAAAATGGGTTAGTTACCGAAAATCAACACGAACATTCAAGCTGCACAGTAAACAAAAACCCCGTAGAATCTCCAGAAAATGGACTAGTTACCGAAAACCAACATGACCACCATTGCTGCACTGTAAAAGACTGTGGAGAAACCAGCCAAGTCTCCCAGAAAATGTTTCCCCACTGTGGCAGGTGTGGAGCCGCCTGGTACTGTTCGCAGGTGTGTCAGAGGGAGGCGTGGAAGAAGGGACACAAGAAAATTTGTCTCAAACAAACTAAACTTTAAACAGAATGCTCATAGTTTTTTTTTACATTAAATTACTGACATTTTGCTGTGCTCATAAACTGTTTGTTTCATACTTCATCCTTGTTTTATGTTTTTATCCCAACATTTCTCCAAATAAATATATAATGATTTTAAAAAATACAAGCACAAGAGTTCTCTTCTCCTGTTATGATGTAGTAAAAATAAGAAATTGTTTTAATACCACCGTTGACAGTACAATCTGAGCCAATAAAAAATAATGTGTCTGTGGCTACTGAATAGAATAGTATGGTCACTACAATAATAACTGGTCTTGAATTTTTTCAGTACTAAGTTTAACCAGCTCTGATGAATACCCGACTGGACATAGATCTGACGACACTATCCCCATGTATGCTAACATAATTGAAACAGATTAACTCTACTTCATCTGCCCTATGTGCCTTGCATGTCCAATGTAGTTGATGTTTTTTCAGAGGGTGAAATATTGGGCAACTTCCGAAACTATCTTCAGGAGATACATCTCAGGATGTGTGGAGGGGACTGTTAGGCTACTTTAACATTACAAAAGTGGTTGTTTATTGACAGGAACTTTCAGTCTCAATGGGAATATTGTGCTAGTTTACAGCATAGGGGCATACTGTCCAATGGGGAAAGAAGCGGGGAGGGATAGGAGTGTCAATACCAGACTGGACCAACCCGTTAGAAAACAGTGTATAATCTTTGGAAATTCAAATAGTATTGAACTCAATACAGCACATTTATATAGCGATTGTAAGATCTACTTGTGGCTGGTTCGGGTACCACGCTAACAACACAAAGATTCAGATACAGCACAAACTGTATACAAAACAAACTTTACACCAAATCTAACCTCTATCTTTAAAAATAAGATGTTCGCACTCTTACACATTTCGTCTATCCTTCACATTCCTCACACTCCGACATACTTATTTGATATCTTTAGGGGACCGCATGGTCGGGCGGGAGAACACGTGATTGCTTACTCCATGAGTCCCGAGTTCGGATCCCCGGGCAGACGAGGCTCGTTAGCAGTTGACAGCAACCCATCTAGGAAAAAACAACTCCAAATCAAGCAACTGCTGTAGTTTGTTCTATAATGGACAAATGCCGAAAGAAATCCAGAAAGAAAAGCAGGCTAACAAAGAAAAAGAGCTGATAACAAATACAGGGTTTCTTTCAGACATTTTTATCCGAGGGGAAGGGGGGTAGGCTACTCTTGACTTTTTCGGGACGGAGGAGGGGTACACGGCTTATATTTTCTTTATAAATTATATATTTTTTCCACTTTATATGTAGAATGGGTGGACTTCTTGCAGCGGGAAGAGGGGGCGTGTTTCCTTGGGTAGATGCTTAAAAGAAAGACTGTTCTCCTGTCCCCACCAGATTTGGTGGGTTGCAGGGAACAGTAATTAATTATTTTTTAAAAATATATATTTATATTTTAATAAATACTTCTCTAGCCACACCCACCCCATTTTGTTTTGTTTCTGGAAGAATTTAACTCCACTTTTAAGAACGATCAGTAATGATTATCGATAATATTCTCTACCGGATGTTGTTTTGTCATTTGTTTATTTTTTTGTGTGGTTATCAGTTTGTTATTCTCTACTGCCACTAGATCTAGATCTAGAATTTTTCTACACTAGGTCCTAGGTTTGATAAGAAAATTTTCTGAAGGTTCTATATTGTAAATAGTAAAAATGGCTAGCACTCGCGTAGATTCGAATAAGTCGGGCCGAACTCTTGTTCATTTTATATGCCAAAATTGCAACTCGCCATTGAAAATAGACTCAAGCTTTAGCGAAATGTCCAGAGATTTATTCAAAGAATTAGCAGGTAGGTAGATGTCAGATGACTCTAGATCTAGACTAGACTCTAGGACACTCTAGTTCTAGGTAGGTAGTCTAGATACTAGATAGAACACACACACACAAATTGTGTCTACACATTTCTTTTCTAGATTCTAGTAGCTAATCATAATCTCTATCCTTTCGGAATTGGATATTTGGACGGACCCTGGTCCTTAATAAGATATTAATATTATTATTATAATAATAATATTAAAATATAATAATAATATTAATATTTAATATATAATTATAATGGTAATCTATCGTTTTGGGTATGTAAAATCGCCCGCGACTAGTAATGTGAAAAACAGGTGACTCCTTACATTTTAATAATTATTTCACATTTTGAGGAGGATTTATGTTTTGAAAAATTCAAAAATGTTTCCTTGTTTCATTTACGTACCTGTTTTTAAACAATTGAATTAAAACTTTTCAGTAATAAATGAACACCAGCAATGTTTCCAACAGATGCAACCTTGCTAATTTACTATAGCAGCCATCTTGTTAAAGTTTTATTTTTATAGACTTATAGCGCGAGATTCAGGCGGAAGTCACTCTATTTAACAAATGGCTGCTGTTTTATATAGCAAATCTTGCTTGCAGACACTGCTTTTTAAGTTAATTTCTGGCCTATATTTATATATTTAGCCATTGATTTAGGTTTATTATTCATTTATCTATAATATTTGACACAAACATATGACAATATACTTCTATTACAGCCTTGACAATGAGGTAACGTTTTCGTACATTAATAGCTGCGGGCGATTTTACGTACCCAAAACGATAGATTACCATTATAATATATAGGCCCTACTCTTATATAGGCCTATATATTTTCGAAGTGTCTACTCGGAAGAAGATTTTTCTCCCCAACGTCTCCACTTAGTCGGCAAAAGATAGCTCTGTGCATGCGCAGTGACCTATGGCTAGGGTTAGGGCTAGAATTAGGGTTAGGGGTAGGATTAGGGATAGGGTTAGGGATAGGATTAGGGCTAGGGTTAGGGATAGGATTAAGGATAGGATTAGGGTTGGTGTTAGGGTTCTGCGGTTGTAAACACACGCATGCGCAGTACCATCGAAAACATCGCCGCTAAGGCAAGTCTCAGTTTCTCTACAGTGCGCATGCGTATCGCATGCGTATCTTATTCCGGCTAGAATCGGCCATATATTTTATATATTATAGCCATGGCCTCTATTCGGACCCCACATTTGGTCTGTAGTTACATGCTCGTATGTATAACCTGTATTAAAATTATAGGCCTACCTTTTGCCTTTTATGTTTATTTGTTTTTCTTGTGGAAAAATACCGACAGTCTAGGGTCAATGTGAGTTCACATTTGTTTAGATATGAATAGTGTAGGCTAGACCATTGACATTTGAGATTGTCAATGATGTCACTTCTATTTGTGTCCCCCCCCCCCCCCCCCTACCCAACGTATTTGGAGTCATTGTGAGTTCATCTTATATATTGCTTCTTTTATAGCATACTACTACACATGCGTCATATTAGTTTTCAAGAAAACAGGCCCGGGAGCTGTAGACTCTAGCCTATAAATATAGTCAGCTATTTATACAATTATATTTTTTTAAATACAAACATTTAACAGAAGAAAAAAATAAAATACAAAAAACCCTCACATTTTTACTTGCGCGCTCAACATTCATACCATAGGCCATAAGACTCCGGTTCGACGTGACATTTGTCAGAAAAGACAGCGGGTATTTTAAAGCAAGATCTCAAGATATATGGAATACAAGAAAACAAATTACAATAACAAAAAAGATATATTCTGTATCTTATTTATTATTTAACTAAATGTTAACAAATTTTAATATTGGCTGGTCCGAATAGATGCAGCCCTTATGCCTTTGACTTTGAGTGCTGACAATTGACATTAGCAAATCATATTTGTAACACATCTATTTGATTTTTGTAGTTATCATTATTACTATATTAGTATTATTAGTAATATTTCTATTAATATTGTCATTGTTACTAATAAGATTTGGATGATTGAGTCTAATAAGAGACTCGTCCAAAAATAGTTGTGTTAGGTTGCTAGGTCTATCAATGACTAATTTCAATTAGTTTACACCATAACACTAAACTCTAAACCTGAGATTAAAATACTACTAATAACCTAACCTAACACACCTAGTTTGAGAAGAGTCTATTGATTGTTGGACATCTGTAATAGATTAGTTATTAGTATGTTATACCAATAAACTTTTTCTTATTGGTATTTTTAATTAGACCCTAATTAGCATAGATTTATAATATTACACTTACTTAATTGAATCTATAGGTCTAGTAAAAAACCTTGGCTAAAAGGATTTTTGTAAAATACTAAAAATAGAATGATGTTCATCTATGTCATTTATACATTTTAGGTACTTTATGTTGCATCATATTATATATTTATTATATAGGCCTAATTCACATAATTATAATAATTATATATAAGCTGATCTAAATTTCAGGTCCTATGGGAGCAACTTCAGATTTTGAAGAAAGTATTCATATAGTTCGCCAAGAGGTAAATCTATACTTAGGAAGACATTGGGAAGTGATAAAAACTGTCTTTTTGATGTGTTTTTAAAGGATTCTGATGTGTTGTTTTTATTACAGTCTTTTAATTTGTGTGTTCTTACATTACATCACGGTTGTCTTAATCTGATGTGTCTGCTTGGTGTTACACTGTAGTGTAGTAGTGTTACAAGATTGGGGAGGGGTGGTGGTTGGGAAGCAGTGTGTTTAAACTGTTGTATTTTCCCCTATGAGAAAATTCAGTAATTAAATAATCTCCACCTACCACAACATAATTAATAAATCGTCTGTTTACAGTTTTAAAATGCACTTTAGCCTTGAACTTTTTCTCATGTTTTAATCTAGGAAATACTGTATGAGGAAGAAGATGGCTTCATCAGCACATTTGTACCACGAGGCGGGTAAGTTTAATTTTTTTTCCCAAGCTGTTGTTTACACAAAAATGTGTGCACATTTTTCAGTGATTTTTTGTAGGAATAGTGAACATATTGATATTTGCATTATCAATATCAAGATTGATTGTTGCTTAAAATTGACTTTACATTGTCATACGTTTACTAGCAACTGTTGTTTTATTAACCTACCCTAGTTTTGAAGAATCCTATGACCTTACAATGTCATAAGTTAATTAGCAACTGTTGTTTTATTAATCTACCCTAGGTTTGAATAATCTAATGACTCTACATTGTCATAAGTTAATTAGCAATTGTTGTTTTATTAATCTACCCTAGGTTTGAATAATCCAATGACTTTACATTGGCACAAGTTAATTAGAAAATGTTGTTTTATTAATCCACCCTAGGTTTGAAGAACCCAATGACTTTACATTGTCATAAGTTAATTATCAACTGTTGTTTTATTAACCTACCCTAGGTTTGAAGAATCTAATGACTTTACCTTGGTTGGTAACCTTGGACCCGGCAGTATGGACACATTAAGTATACGAGCTAAAGTAAGTTTACATTTTTAAAATGTATATTAAATTTAAACTGATTTCACTAAACCATCTTTATCATTGTTTTTATTTTTTGTGATATCTATTTCAGGTAACAGGTCATCTATTTGACCTTATGTCTGGTGTTTCAGATATAGATCATCCCTTGTGTGAGGTAACTAATTATGGTTGATTTTACGTTAGATCATAGTATCAATAAGCCAAAACCAAAATGGATACTGGATTTAAATATCAGTGACCATGAAATATATTTTCCCCTCTATTTAGTTTGAATGTACCCATAGTTTTTGGCATCATTATAAAGGGCTAAAACTCTGATTTTAAAAAAGTCAAAAATAAGAATGACTGATCTTTTTGGAATAGAAAAACCAGCCAAAGGCTTTACATAAATGATGGTTTGAGTGTAAGATTATAAGCAACCCATCAATCTTGTCACATCGTCATCTTCTAGCAAACCCTAAACATCAAGAAAGCAATACCATTTGACATAAGCAATACACAAAAACAGACACCATTGGCCAGTATGCCAATCCCGAATATGAAGATTGTTGATCCAAATAACAACGGAAAACTCATTAATTCTCTAATATTGTTCTTTAATCCTCATTCTCTGTGCCTGATTAAGTTGAATCAAAGTGTTTAATGAAATATGTTTTTGATACACAGGAATGCACAGACCACTTGTTAGACAACCTGGATCACCAGTTGAAGATAGTGGAGGATGAGAGTAAAGAATACAGGTAAACACCACAAGTTATGTTTCTAATCTAACAGATATCAGTTCTCATTTCTAAGAAAGGATAAAAAATGATTTAACATTTTTTTAGGGAATTTCTGGAAAAATTGGAATTTACTGATGAATTTGACAAAGAGTTGGAACTAGATGAAGAACTAAAGCAGGTTACTTAATTAATCTATATTACTGCAATGTAATTTTTTATTTTTGTGAGTAATATAAACTTGAGTGTCAAAATCACTTCTACTGCTGATTAAGAATGAAATGTTTTTTGATAAGCTATTTAAATTTTTGTTTAATTTTTTGTGTGTTAGCTTATTCAAGAAGAGAAAAAACTGAGGCAGGAGTTAGAACAGGCTGAAAATGAGAGGTACAAAGTGTCAGAGGCTATGATCATTGAGAAAGAGAAAGCCAAAAAATTAGATGATGAAGAGGAAATGTAAGCACTGATCACTTAATAGAAAGTAAAATTACAGACACATTTTCACCTTATTAAATATTTCCTAGAGAAATTAAACAATAAAATTTTGGTAATATAAAGATTTAATTTCTGATAAAATTTTCTTCAACAACATATTTTCTTGTTGCAGTTACTGGCAAGAGTATAATGACCAGTGTCGCATTGCTATAGAACTTGAAGATGAACAGAGAAGGTAAAAGAAAGTTTTAGTTTTTACAATGGAGTCCAAAAGTGTGTACTGACTGCATTTGTAATCTAATAGACACAAATTTCAGTTTTTTAACTTTTTCTCTCATGAAATAATCCTTTCTTTTAGAAGTTTGAGAATCACATCATTTACTTGCTGCACACATAAATTGAAATTTGGAATGTATCAGAGTAGACTATTATTTTTTCCAGTGCCCTCACATTTTTTAGGGAGTCTTTTATTTGGATAATTTCAAATAACTAGTTCTCACATTGCTGTTTGTAATATTGTGTTGTCCAGGTTTTCATTTAAAAAAACAAACCTTGACCTTTGTCCCTGTGGTACTTAAAGTTACTGAGGTTCTTTTAGGACTTTAGGCCACAACAATTATGTGATACAATTGATTTTTTAATTCATTTTTTATTAGTTATAAACTATCTTTTCTTCTCCTAAAGTGTGGACAACCAACTTAAATATGCTCAAGCACAACTAGACAGGCTAAAGAAAACCAATGTGTTCAATGCCACATTTCATATATGGTGAGAACTTAAACCTTGGACTTAATAATTGCAAATTTTTAGAATTTATTACAGATATGCTTATTATTTAACTCTTCTTCACTGTTTTTTTCTGCTGATTTTGAGATTGATGAAAAAGTTATAAAACGCATCTTTGATTTACCTTTTTTTATTAACCCCCTTCTTACAGGCATGATGGAGAGTTTGGAACTATCAATGATTTTAGGCTTGGACGATTACCTGGGACATCAGTAAGTTGTGAATCATTTGATGAGTTTTAGCATTGTATCTAGATTAAATACAGATGAGATTAAAATAACATAATGATATGTCAATTTCAACATTCCTTACATTTTAAATTGTTTGTTCCTACTCTCAGATTGAATGGACTGAAATCAACACATGTCAATTTCAACATTCCTTACATTTTAAATTGTTTGTTCCTACTCTCAGATTGAATGGACTGAAATCAACATATGTCAATTTCAACATTCCTTACATTTTAAATTGTTTGTTCCTACTCTCAGATTGAATGGACTGAAATCAACATATGTCAATTTCAACATTCCTTACATTTTAAATTGTTTGTTCCTACTCTCAGATTGAATGGACTGAAATCAACACATGTCAATTTCAACATTCCTTACATTTTTAAATTGTTTGTTCCTACTCACAGATTGAATGGACTGAAATCAACATATGTCAATTTCAACATTCCTTACATTTTAAATTGTTTGTTCCTACTCTCAGATTGAATGGACTGAAATCAACACATGTCAATTTCAACATTCCTTACATTTTTAAATTGTTTGTTCCTACTCTCAGATTGAATGGACTGAAATCAACATATGTCAATTTCAACATTCCTTACATTTTAAATTGTTTGTTCCTACTCTCAGATTGAATGGACTGAAATCAACATATGTCAATTTCAACATTCCTTACATTTTTAAATCGTTTGTTCCTACTCTCAGATTGAATGGACTGAAATCAACACATGTCAATTTCAACATTCCTTACATTTTTAAATTGTTTGTTCCTACTCTCAGATTGAATGGACTGAAATCAACATATGTCAATTTCAACATTCCTTACATTTTAAATTGTTTGTTCCTACTCTCAGATTGAATGGACTGAAATCAACACATGTCAATTTCAACATTCCTTACATTTTTAAATTGTTCGTTCCTACATTCAGATTGAATGGACTGAAATCAACACAGCCTGGGGTCAAGTTGTCCTGTTGTTGGTGTCCCTGGCTAACAAAATTGGTCTCACTTTTAAAAAGTAACATGCAAAAAACTCTTCCTTCGTTTAGATTATTTTTTAACTAAAACTTTGTGGAAAGAAATGCCAGTATAAAAACTCCCCCTGAACTTAATGTTAATATAAAACTAAGCTAGTATACTAAAATAAAGTTGCTCATATTATTTCTTTTAAAAAGTTATTGTAATATATTCCAGATACCGACCTGTACCATATGGAAACCATTCATATATTGAAGTGCTTGATGAAAAGAAAGAACTTCCTTTGTATGGATCTGGTGGCATTCGTTTCCTGTGGGACACTAAGTAAGAATCATATACAATCATAACCAGCCTCTTGATGTTTTCACTAACTGCTTTAAAAATACTTATGAACTGTCTATGCTTTCAGATTTGATTTAGCAATGGTTGCATTTTTGGAATGCTTACAGCAAGTGAGTAAATCTTAAAAAAAAATTTCTTTTTGTCAAATATTTAATTATTTTGCCTATTATTTTGTACTCATTAATAATATTTTTATGTGTCTTTAGTATAAATGTTTTTTCCAGTTTTAGATTTAAAATTTTTTTTATTTCCTCTGACAGTTTCGTGACGAGGTGGAAAAAGAAGATTCAACTTTTAATCTTCCATATAAAATGAGCAAAGGAAAAATTTATGAAGGAGAAAAGGCACAGTATTCTGTCAAGTAAGATTCTGTGCATTCATTTTATCCACTAAAAAATAAGTACTACAAATCACTCAATATTTTAATTTATCATTAAATTAAACATTAGTGATCATTCATTTATCATTTGAACTCCAAAAAATCCCTAACCTTTAACCTTTCACTCACAACACCACTGATGTGTCATATATGATAATGCACTACTTTTGTTTTACTAAGCAGTGTATTGAAAATATTTTCTTTGACATTTGAGAACATATAAACATTTACTCAGTTAAAAATCTTCCAATTTGATCTATCATCTATTTTCTTTACAGTAACATGTATTTTGGCTTTAATTGCACAGATTAAGCTTTAAAACACTTATTGTAATCTGTTACAATTATTGAATCGTTGAAACAGTTATCCATCAATTTCTGTTTCTAGGATGCAATTTAATTCTGAGGAACAGTGGACAAAAGCGTTGAAATACCTGTTGACCAACCTTAAATGGGCGCTAGCCTGGCTATCTGCCAGAAAAAGTCTTGGCGATTGATTCTAGTCAATATGTAGTCGTCCAAGTTTCTTGTACATAATGTACCAGTTATCTTCAAATCATTGGCTTATGGTTAGCATCAAACACAATGATGTACATAAATGTCGCACTATTTGATCAGTTTTAATTTATCCTCTGTTAATTCACTATTCCAATCTGGGTGCTTGTAAATTGGTTATTTTGGAATGCCATTAGTATAATTTCTATTGGCTATATTTTCATTTCCATAAAACTTTTAAATACAATTTACAAACATCCAAGACAGCAAGCACATAGGTGTGATTTTCAAGCCTCCATCCCCTCTTTAAATAATAGAATTTGTTTATGTATATTGTAGTGCTTAACAGTGAAATGTTTCTTTAGATGTCTACATCCATTTGCAATCCTAAAAACTACTTAATTTAAAGAGTACCAATACAGAAAATTTGGTCACACTAGGAAAGCTCCAGAATTATTTTTGAACTGGTGGCTCTTTCTTTTTAACGGAATTCTAATTCAACTATTCGCCAGATTGTCTGCAATTGATGTATGTAAGAAAAAATGCCTCTTTCTAATTAGAATAATTTGTATGGATTGCTAATTATCTGTACTTCATAATCACAGCAGCTAAAATATCTGTATAATTTACTATGTCTTTCAAGCATTTTATTATGAATTCTGCAATTTTTTAATGTAAAAATAAATGTCTATAAATTGGTAATGTATTTGTTACGTTTTTTGCTATTCAAATCAAGAAAACCTGGCTGGCCACAAAGGCCCCCACAAAACAGATACAACTGACCAAGTCATCCTAAAGATAGTGAGCACAGCAGGGAACTGAAAACATTTTAAAACATTTTACAAAAAATACACAAAGACAAGCATCTAGTAACATTCAATATTTAATCGCATTCAATATAAGATTTAAAATCCTCAACCAACACAGCAAAAACACACAGCCATTCAACTCCATACACCTGTTGAAATTTGATTAGTAAAAATATCATACATTAAGTTCCAAGAGTAGCTACCAGACCATTCAGCATAAATCTTAATGAGTGGAATGAAACTCACTTAAAAATTTCAAAATCTCTAAAAGAAATAAATACATTGACCCTCACAGCTTTCAACATCATATTCACAATGAAATGCATCACATCCTCAAGATGTAGAATTTTTTTTATATGTATTCCAATTTTTCTTTTCCAAATTAATGGTCCATAATTAGTTGTACGTCTATGTAAAGGAAAGAAGTTCAGCCATCAACTTGTTAACTACGTGTGTATTTTCCCCAAATGTGTAGCATGAAGACGGAAGCGATGAATATGAGACTCATGACCAAAACAGGAACAGGTCCACTGAAATAAAATAAAAAGACTATTATAACATGCATGGCCTAGAGAAATTGAAAAAGACATGAATAGTTTGAAAAATCAATGTTATGGAAGGGTGTCGTAAATGTCCTATCTTCCACCGGGAGTTGAAAAAGGTGATGAAGAACAAGCATGAAACCATATAAGTATGATACAGGCCTAATATATATGTACTGCTCGGTAAAAAAAAAAAAAAAGTACGAGTCTGACTTACACTTTGATGCCAGGGGAATCCTCCGTGTAAAAACGCCACATGCCAGCACTACCTCCAGCTGCCTTGCGTGTACCACCACTACTTGAAGCTGGTGCTTTCCTTGAAAAAAAAAAATTGCATAAAAATTAAAAACCTGAATTAACTTACAAATTGGTGAAATCTTAATATAATTACTATGCTGTAAAACTCACAATCCACTTAAGCAAATTGCAATAAGCATAATGGAATGAATAGGCCGACTGATAGGACTTAACAAACCTTTGTCTAGCTGTGGTGCCGCCTGATCTTGGGGCTATTGTCTTTGATGGGCCACCACGGCCTCCCCCACCAACAGATGTCGAACTTGCTGCTGGCTGAAATTCAATATAAATAAGAACTATAACAGCGGATCATGTAAAAAATATATTTTAACACATATTACTTAAATTTTTTTTAATACAAACACTTTTCAGGAAAATAGTCATGAGAAAATAATGACACAAAACTGTCTACAGAATCTTCTGGCCTTTCTTACAAGATCCACAGCACATAAGATCTAGCTAAATAATAGTATAGTGATTCGTCGTCATTCTTACAGGCATAGATCTAGATTTATCTGTTTTCAACAGACTGATTTTTTAAATAAGGTGGGGCATCTGGATAGTTTGAAAGAAGTAGCACAATTCGAAATAAGAACAAAAGTGAGTTCAAGATTCAACCCCAAAACCCACAGACACTGTGACCTAAGAAAAAAAGTTTGTAAATAATGGATCAAAATTCAGTTAGGCCCTACACCAAAAAATGTGATATCCAACTTGTCTAGTGTCTAGTCTAGAGTAACTAGATCTAGATAATAGTTAGAATTTCAATTTACTACTAGAGCTGGTGTTAGAACAAATCTAATCTAACGATTCTAATCTCTAGTCTAAGACTGAGTAAGACTGAGAGGCTAACAGTCCAGTAACTACAGTAACACGTCATACTGACAGTTTCATATGGGTGATTGGAAAACCATATTACCATACTTTTTCTTATTTATATATCTAGATCTACGAAGGAGGTTTACAACAAATAAACTTATTCGTATGTTTAAAACAAAGAAACCTATCCATATGTTTAATTATTAATTTGCAGCGACCAACTGTCGCAAACATTCATTTAACATTTTTGTTGATCATTGCTTCTAACATCACTGCATTAATCGGGGAAAAAGCAAGTCTACATTTACTAATATCTCCATTTAATTAATTTGCTAAAAATACTGAAATATCGTTAAAAATAAGACATAAGCAAGAACTATTTTGATCTGTATTAATATGAGTAAATACGTTTAATTGTACAAAAACTCACAAGTGCCATGTCTACGTCGACTAGGTACGGTGTAAGAAACAGGAAGTGAACTTTATCTAAAAAAATTGCCACGTATCCGGCTTATTTGTATATCCGGTCCAGCGAACATTTTAATGTGGGCACTAGGCTATAAAAAAAATAGACCTAGAATAGGCCTATATAGTGAAGAGTGATAAATTATTATAATATTTAAGTTAAATTTTAAAAGAATTACATTTTTTTGTCTTTTATTAAATCCTTTATGAACACAGACTTGAACAGTAATACATATTTTAATTTCGTAGTTTAAATAATAGGAATACTGGCACCCAAATGTCTGACTCTGATGCAAGAGTACGAGTATTATTATTCAACATGCCCTAACAGAGTTTCTTCCAGGCATCTCTTCGGGGGGGGCAAAGCCCCCCCCGAAAAATTTTTACCGCCCCCCCGAACGAAATGAAATTTATATAATTTATATACAAAATATATACTTTTAACAGTGTCCGCCCCCCCGAAGAAAGTTTACCGCCCCCCCCGAAGATTTCAAGTGCCCCCCCGGAGAAAAAAGTCTGGAAGAAACACTGTACCCTAACCCAGTGGCGTAACGAGGTCGGGTGTCACCCGGTGCGGCACTTAATGGTGTCACCCCCCAGAGGCGTAGCGACCCTTCCTGGGGACAAACTTTCAAGTTTTCGATTTGCACCCCCCCCCTTAAGTTTTCGATTTGCACCCTCCCTCACACTTTCGATTTGCACCCACCCCCTCAAGTTTTTCTCTATATATTTTGCTATTTTTTGCCTTGGTGTCACCCCCTAAATGGTGTCACCCGGTGCGGTCCGCACCCCCGCCCCCCCCCCTCGCTACGCCCCTGCCCTAACCTACACTATAAAACGTTACATAATATCTTTATAGACCACATCCCCTTATAAAAAGTATTACTATTATAGTAAGATTTCCTTCAGTGTTTCTTCCAGTGTTTTTTCTGGGGGGGGGGGTGGGGGGGGGGGGGGGGGGGGGGGGGGCATTTGAAATTTCGGGGGGGGGGGGGGGCGGACACAGTTAAAAGTATATTTTTTTTATATAAATTCTATTTCGTTTGGGGGGGGGGGGGGGGGGCTTGGCCTTCTTCGAAGAGATGCCTGGAAGAAACTCTGGTTGCCTTTCGAACTTGGCAGTCTATGGAGCAAGTGAACCGCTTTTACTTTCCCTATCGTGAGTTAGGTACCCATCAGAGGCGGGGTGGATTCAAAGACTTGAACTCGAGACTTTCGGGTTAGAAGTCTTGTGCTCTGCCATTTAATCATGACATCCAATCAGCAGCGTAGCTACCGTAAAGCTAGCATCAGCAAAGAATAGGGGCCCAAGGAACCTAGGGCCCGTTTTCCTTTTTAAAAAATTAAAACTTTTACATTGGGATGTTAATATTAGTTGTGTATAAATAATTTAAAAAAAAAAAAGATGGAAATCTAGTTTCTTTTCTACTCTGCTGCAGCCGCGGTCATTTTTTCCGGTGTTGCAAGGAAAGAGAAGCAGGAATATAATGTTCGCTTTAAATTAATCGTGGTTGTTTCCCCTTATACACTGTAAATAAAGTAGCTTACAAGTTTTTGTTCTTGCCTACCAACAGTGGGAATTTAACTACGAGTTGCCTGGAAGATAGAGCCCCTTTAAAATTAAATAAGCATCTCTTAACTCTTACTGTCTGTGCTTCAGTGAGTTATAGCTTGAGCTAGTTGTAATAATTTGTGTGTTTTAATCATAAAATTTCGGCAATGTTGATTTTTTTAAAAAAAAAAGTAGATTTAATGAAGAAACAAGTAAATGAAATTAGATGAAGGATATACTTGTCAGGTAGATGTTTTTCTGTATATGTTGTCGTCTGGATATATGTAAGACACTGATTTGTCCGGGATAAGAATGAAGATGATTTTATAGTGACAGAGGTCGTTGTCAGGTGCTGGTCATGATGTGTTGACCTATATCTCTCTTTGTGTATAGGTTTGTCAGACAATATCCATACCGGAAGACAGAGGCGTCTGGGAGTTTTGCCAAATGGTGTTTGATTGCATGCCTTCTTTTGATCACATTATTGCAGTGTGGGCATTTTTTAGCTTCAGGGTGGGCTGTTTCTGTACACGTTGTACACTAGCTGGCAGTATAGTAACCAGAGTTTCTTCCAGGCATCTATTCGAGCGGGCTCTGCTTCTCCCCCACCCCTCCGAAGAAAGTCTACCGCCCCCTCCCCTAACAAAATGGAATTTATATAGAAAATATATACTTTTAACAGTGTCCGGCCCCGCCCCCCCCCCCCCTCCGAAAATTTCAAGTGCCCCCCCCCCCGGGAGAAAAAAGTCTGGAAGAAACACTTATAGAAACTGAAGAAGCAGCATCCACAGCTCTTGTTTTTTCCAGGAGTTAAGGGTTTGGAGACTTGGATAGATGCGGTGGTAGTTTCTTGTTGTAGCAGGGTTTGTTTAGTGTTTGGTGGAGTTGTTGCCGCGGCATCTGATGTTGTTTTTGGCCGATTTTGTTTTTCTTTCTTGAAGCGTGGCTGGACTGGCTTTATTCTTACTTTTCGCGAGTGTTTCTGTTTCCATGGCAGTTTGTGGTTCTGTGTCATTGGAAGCGTTTTGCTGTGGTGTGCTGGTGGTTGCTGGTGTTCCGGTGCTAACTTTGTTGGTTGCCTTCCCTGTTGTTGCTGGTGTTGTTGGTTGTGGTGTTAGGATTTCCTGCTGTGGTCACAATGTGGTGTGTCGGAGTGTGCTAACTTGAAATGGTCCGTCCTGTATTGCGTGGAAGAGCAGAGTTTCTTCCAGGCAACTCTTCGGGGGAGCGAAGCCACCCCCGAATTTTTTTTACCCCCCTCTTCCTGAACGAAATGAAATTTATATAATTTATATTGAAAATATATACTTTTAACAGTGTCCGCCCCCCCCCCCCCCCGAAGAAAGTCTACCGCCCCCCCCCCCCCCGAAAATTTCAAGCCCCCCCCCCCGAAAATTTCAAGACGTCCCCCCCCCCCCCCCCCGGAGAAAAAAAAAGTCTGGAAGAAACACCGTGGAAGAGCCGAGCTGACACGTCTGTCTTTTCCCGATGTTAGTGTTTTGTTTTTGTAGTTTATTTTGATGGTTGAAGGTTTGTCAGTGTAGATAGCAAAGCTGCGATAATCGGTGTGTGCAATTGTGCTTATGGATGGTTCTTTGTTGCTGAATATCGTAGTGCTTGTAGAAGTGTTGAGTTGTTAAGTGTGGGGGTACCCATGAGTTGTTTAGTGGGGGGGGGGGACCATCTAAGGGTCCCGTTGATTTTGTGGTTTTGGTGATAAGTGCATCGTTATTGGACCGTGTGTTTTGTTTACATTGTACATTATGGTGAAGTCGAAGGCTTGTGAGGACTGATACAGATTTACAACAGTAATACTTCTTTATTACATGTATTTTTATTCATTTAAGATGGTTTACTAAAACATAAATCTAATACAAAACGTCTAATTACAATTTACTTTTAACCTGAAAATGCACATGTGTAGTTTAATTATACGATGTGAAGACTAATTTTGTAAAACATTTGACAGCGGAAGAATGACACGCCCAATGTTATTGAAAGTTTAACTTTCAATGATCTACACATCTGGTATTAAAGGCAGGTAATATTTATCAATTTAAATTATAGTATAACGATAATTATAAACATGATAAAATATAAAGAGAAGACAAAATTTTTTAACAATAATGTTTAATAAAACAATAAACAAAGAATTATATGTTAATTTTAAATAACTTAATTATATATTATTTTAAACGACTCTTTGATGCATAGTTATTGGCTGTTTCCCTTTGATCATTCTAATGTAAATATGGGAAGCAACACGTCAATATTCAAACTTAAAGTTTTTAACTATTGTTCAACACTGCAGTTTCTGCATACATAGTGGTAGCACTATCTATGATATTGACATTTTAAAAAATACAGGCGAGTTACGACAAACTTGATTTGTTATTGATTAAAATTTAGATTGTTCATTATAAAGAATATCTTATGCCTATTTAAAAAATATCTGCAAATATTGGATACGGAATGGCCGAGATTTGATTTTATAGTTGGGCAAATCGCAAAGTTTGAATATCATATACTTTTAATACATTTTCTTCTAAAACATGTCCCTGTATCCACCGAAGACTTAACCGTTTGAACCTTTTTATAATCAATTCGATGGATGTCAATTTGTGCCTCATTGGATGCTTTAACCAACGCTTTGACCCAGTTCAAGAACTACTTTTAAATAAACAGCTCTACTGGCTAGCTGGATTGATTTTTAAAAAAAATGACGTAGTTTTTTAACTCCCCAAAATTACGGGAAGAACTCATCGAAATCGTCACAAGTAATGTTCCCTCTAAGTGAAAAAAAGGTAGCGTACAACGATTAGTTTTAGTTCGCGGTGATCTAAGGGACATATACAAGAGTAGCCCTCGATGTATTCCCACGTTTTCTTTAACTTGCTTTCGTCTCTGTCTTTCCAATCAAATCTTGCGATCGAAATTTCTGGCACTTCCCAGTTAACTAGCGCGCTGAAATTTTCAGGGAAGCTTTGTTTTGGATGACAATAGAATATTCAATTGTTATTATTACTAAATTGATCCATGGAAACATTTTATTGAGCATTTTAGACCGCAAATATTTTAAAGCAAATATTTTCAGTGGCAGCATTGGTACTGTCGAATTCACAAATTATGAATTACTGAAAGTAGAAAATAAATCAACTAAATAGCGGCTCGTTGTAGTAAAAACGTGGGGAAAAGGGACATAACCCAGTAACTGTAATTTGTATACAAACAACCGTAACAACTGGTGGCCAGTATGGTCGAGTGGTTGGGCACACGATTGCTATCCCACTCGACACGGGTTCAAATCTATGTGTTCTAGTCAGTAACGTATTCACACAACGTGTTTTTTTACGAGTTGTCTTTTTACGAGTTGTCTTTTTTTACCCAAAAAAAAAGTGAAAAGATAAAATCGATAGCAAGATTTTAATGCAAACAAACAGACAAAGACTAAAAAGTAGAAAATAATAATCATTAAAAAAGTTTTA